ATGAACCACATAACTTTCCTCTAGTCCTTTAAGATTTCCTCCCCTACTATTAAGGTCTTTATGTGTTATAAATCATTAATCCTGTTTGATTTGCATTTGCACATTTGTATATTTAAGACTGCTCAGTACATGGTAGTCAAGATAGATGACCCCCTCAGAGACAGTGACATGAGTAATGGTCCCATGAGGGCACAGGAAGTGAGGGGTGGGGAAGGGGAGGGAAGGGGAGTTGATGCCATTGATGATTATATAACCCCACCCGATAGCGTTGAACAAGAGAACTGTATGTGAATGGATATATTGGAATGAGTAAAATCTGTCAATCAAAATACTCTTTAAAACAGAAAATGGAAAACTTCATTTGTTATCTTTATTTTTTTTACCCAACAGTTTTTTGGCATATAATTCACATATATAATTCAATAGTTCAATCACATCAAGAAGAGTTATACAAGCATCACCACAATCAGTGTTAGAACATGTTCTTCATTCTTGTACTCACTGTTATTAGCATATGATATCCCCTCAACCCCCATCCCCCACCCCAGTCATACCCTAAGGAACCATTAATCTACTTACTGTCTCTATAAATTTACCTATCCTGGATTTCACATACATTATAAACAAAACTAAGAAAAATAATAAAGTGAACAGAAAGAATCAAAAAGAAATCAGCACATAGAAAAAACTAGACCAAATTTAAGTGGATCATGAGGAAGATCAAATGATAAGTGCTACATTTTAACCTTACTGCACCTGCCACAATCCACTTCCCAGTGCACTCTATTCAGCCATCTCTCTAGTTCACCAAACATGATGACCTGTTCTAGGGACTGGTCTCTTCTGATAGCATGCCTACTAGTCTCTTCTGATAACATGCCTAACTACTTGTATTTCTCCTCTGACATATTGGGGTTTTTGGCAGTTCGTGGTACGTTTCATATTCTTTGCCAACACCATCACTGAAATGCGTTGATTCTCCTTAGGTCCTCCTTACTCAGTTTCCACTTTCACGTGCACATGACCCAAGTGAGAAACACCATGGCTTCGGTAAGGTGCACCTCAGTCCTC